AAACTGGGCCATGTGGGTATTTCTGAATGTTTTATTCGCTGTCCCCTGCTTGCAGAGCAGGAACAGTTACGTGGAGAGCATGAACATGTTCCTCAGGGACAAACTGAACTTCCATCACTCATCACAAACCCCACTGCAAAATGAAAGGCAGGAGGGGGCCAACAAAAATACACAACATAATCCACTGCCTCGCAAAACCAGCTGATAATGAGGGTCAGCTGTGATCAACAAACACAAGGGTCTCCCAGTTCATGTAATCTGAATTTAAATTACTTCAGTGGCCTGAGTACACCTGTGAACCTCAACATCAGTTCTTAACCCCACCAGCTTCCTTAAATAGCAACATTTCAGCATTGTTTACAGAACAGTAGAAAGGGATTAAATCCAGCTTCACTTAATCTTGATTAAAACCTCTATGGATGCACCTCAGTAAGGATAACATGACCTTTGTATTTTATTCTTAATAAAGATAGGAAATTGCCAAGATTAGTAATTTTCAGTGCTAATAACAAAGCAACAGACCTTGTAATTAAAAATAACTTTTAGGAGGCTGCTAAATGATTTTGATAATGATTTAAGGACCAATTAGAGAAGAGGTGTCATTCTTCCCCTTTTAATTAGATCTATTGGAAACAGTGAAGCTGAGAAGTTCTCATATTAACCATTTTTTATTACACTGAGGGTACTCATCTGCTCTGGATGAGAAAAGTTTAACAAAAACCAGTACAGGGACTCCTCTTTAAAGGACACTCAATGGTAAAGGGTGTAAGAATGATGGTGTTAGTTCTGCTGCTTTGTGGTGGCTGGGATATATGGCCTCGAAGATTACTGCTCTATCAGCCTTACAGGAGGATTTAGCACACCCATAAAGCTACTCAGCCTTGTGGGAGCACAAAATGCAGCTTTGGGTTTGGATTTGGGACAGGAGAGGGAAGCTGCACAGCCAAGCAGGTGCTGTGGTGGTGGGGACCATGCACACACCAGCACCACCCTCAGCCTCCCCATGAGTCCACCCAGGGATTCCCCTGCAAGAAAATTACCACAAAGCAACCCAAAGCAAAAGAGACCCCAAATCCTCACTCTGGTTTGACCTCTCAGCAACAAAAGTCATTATGCTGAGACTACAGCAACCACTGCTCACCTGAGCTCTAGAGTGTGAAAACCATCTTGTTTTGGGCTTTGCTTTATGAGACAACTTAGAACCAGCTTTAGAATCACAGAATCCCAGTATGGTTTGGTTTGGGTTGGGTTGGAAGGGGCCTTAAGGATGATCTCGTGCCAATCTCCCTGCCGTGGCAGGGCCACCTTCCACAACTCATGAGAAACCAAATTAAGAGTTTGCTGCTCCTGCACAGGGAGCAGCCCCATCTCTGCCCCCAACACTCCCACCTCTCACCTTGAGCCAGCCCTGGCACTGCTCTGGCTGCCCAGTGAAGCAGCTCAGCACCTAAAATGACAGGAATAAGATTAAAAAAGAAAGAGGAATTGTTCTACTGGGTTAGGAACCCACTTACCTTCCGGAGCAGCCTCCTCTGGGGTGTGGGGCTCTCAGTCACCCAGCCCCTGGTGCCACCACAACCTGCAGCCTCCCCAGGGCAGCTCAGGGGGAAGCTCTGCTGGGAGAACCTGCTCCTCCCCTTGCAAAGCAAGAACAGCTGCCCCATCACAAGTCCCTCCTGCCCCCCAGCCCCAGGAGGCATCACTGCCTCAAATTCAGGCAGATAATTGAGACCCAAACAAGTACCAGCTGCCAGCCAGGTTTCTCTCTGCTCACTGTGCCAGCTTTCCACCAACAATAAAAACAAATAAAATGTCCCCCACTGTGGCTCATCACAGGTTTCCTAAGCTGGCCATGACTTGGAAAATCCCTGACCAATGTTTTTGTTCATTGCAGTCTGGGTTAGAGCCACAGAACTCTCTCTTTTCCCTTCCTATTATTTTCGTAGCACTGAAATTTATTTAAGGTATCCCATTTTTCATCTCCACCTTGCAAATTAATTTCCCGTAACTCAAAGCTCCCTGCTCAGATAAACCCTTCTCTGTTCACCCTGTACACAACTGAGCAGCAGCCAAGGACAGTTGACTTAGAGCTGAATAATATGCACCGGTGCTAAATGAAAATTAAACCATAAATATTTTAAAATACCTGATTTCCTGGATAGTAAAAGTGAAATGTATCATTTGTTTAAACTATCCTATTCATTATTTCTTTCCTCATTTCATAAAACCCAACCACTAACGAGAACCTACATAAATAGAGTTTCAACTTTCATCTTGAGAAGTTTAATCAGAAAACTCTTCAGGAATATTTTATTCCTTTTATCAGAATATTGATGGAAGTCATAATTCACCTTAATGTGAGAAAGTTTCCTTTCTTCACTAAAGAAATCCATCAAGGCATTTCTTGTTGGTAAGATCTGACATAAATCTGCTTGCTTTTTCCTCTGTTTGATCTCAGCACTTTATGAATTTTTGATTGCCTGCTCTTAATTTTCCACAAGCAAATTCAATTAAAGAAATTAAAACCCAGTAGTTCAACCCTGATTACCTCATCAGCAAATGGCTCTTTTATTGCACAGTGGATGACATATGCTGCACTCTCCTGGAGCTGCTGGAGCCCTTGTAAAACCGGATCAGGAAAAACCTTTCCCTCTTTATTGGCACTATTAGGGAACAGCTCCTGACTGCCCAGGCCAATTCAGCAACACTCCCCCTGCTCAGGCAACAGTCCAAGGGCTATTGAGAATGGAAAAATATCCTTAGGAAATAAAAAAGTCCAAGTCATTGTGTGCATGTCAGATCTTTCACCTGCCCTGGGTGAGGTCCCTGTTCCGTGGCAGTGACACACAAGTCACTGGAGAAGCAGCTCGGCCCAGCCCTGAGCCAGGGTGGAGCTCAGAGCTCACTGTTGTACAGCTTTAACTCTGAGACCATCTTGAAGGGACACTTCTCTCTTGCCACACAGCAGGGACTGGGAGGAAATGGCTCTTTTAGGACACATGTAACCATTGCCTTGCAGGCTCTCTGTCACACTGGCACTGTCAGCTGCATGCTGGGGCTCATCAGCAGGGCACGGGTTTTGGGAATAGTGATACCCCACAAACATCATCTAAATTCGCTTGCTGTGATGCAGCCACAAACTTTGGTGTGACCAAACATCTGTCTCGATGGCCCAATTCACTGGATTGGTTGAAGAGAAACCAATACTTTAAATTAAACTGTTCACTGCACTTCTGCACAGCCAGGTCCTTCAGCACCTCCTTCCAGGTTCTGAGCAAGGCCTGTGGTACCATGGGAAAGGAGCACAAGCTTCTGTCAAGTGTGAATGTACTATTTTCTGCTGTCAGAATCACTACACTTTATGAATGTTATTCAAAGAGAAAGCTCCTGAACTTCTTGGGTGCAAAAAACATTAGCCAACTCCTCAAATTCCGATATTTAAACATCCTAAAGGAGCTTTGCAAAGTAACCTTTCCTTTTGGATCTTGACCACAGCAGCATTACTTCAAAGCAGGGATGTTCAGGTAAGAATTTCAAGTATCTTCCACAAGAATTATTAAATAAACAACTTAGGTTAAAAAATTGCACATTAAAAAACTTATTAACTCCTGTAGCTTCAAAGATTTCATTTAAACCTTGCTAAACACCATTTAACAGATGCATAAAACAAACCTGCACACACCCAGTATGGGTGACAGAAAAGATGGGTTTGAACTGGTTTCCAATTCCAAGCAAGTTCTTTATCACAAGGTACTGTATAAAAGGAGCGAAATAGTTAAGATAAAAAAACACAAGCTCATTATTGTCATTTATTTTAAAAACCTTATTCAAAATATTAAGTGATACAAGTCCAAATATGATAAAAATTACTGCGAGAAAAGAGTTTTGGGATATTTTGTTTGTGCTTTACTTCCTGTAGTTATGAAAAGAATGCATTTAACAGTAGGATTTAGAACTTTTAGCACTTCATTCCTAAGACAGTATCATGCCTTCAGACTCCTCATGCCATCAGCTGGGAAGGTGATTTTTTTCCCAAATGTTACATAACTACTTGAATACCAAGTCATTAATTACGGGGTTCTGATTCACCGTTATTTACATATTTCTCAGGTTGAAAACTAAATCACAAACAGAATGTACAGAAAACTAAAATTTTATATTTTACAACCCATAAAACCATAAATAATGGAAGTACAAAAGACAAAGTAAAAAAAAAAAAAAATCAAAAAAACTACTGTACCAGTAACTTGATTTACACTAATGCATAAATGTTTGTCAAAAATGAGAGTGCACTGGCAGCCCCCACACCTTTACTCTCACCTGTCTGTTACCAGGGTCAGAAGAACAACCAAATAAATTATTCTTACAGTTTCAGGCCTCTCCCAATTATAATATAAGCACATAACCATTTCCCAACTGTCTTAAAATTCAACAGAAAGCTTTGATGTACAGAAAGCCTGTCAACTATCTATATTTTAGTAAGATTATTCAAGAAGGCTTATTTTCCACTCATTAATTACAAAGACAATGAAACAGTCATAAATACCATTAGAGAAAAAAATGGACAGTCAGGAAGCTTCATACCTTCACAAACACCTTGAGCATTTTAAGGAAATATATGGTATAAAACTTCTGAATAAAATAGGTTATACATAATTATTTTTAAATTATTTACTGCAGGAACACATATGGAAATTATTAAATTGCCATTCTAGCTATTTTGCCTAAAATAGGATCAAATTATGCAACAAGGAAACAGAAAAAAAAAACCAAGATAAAAGATTTGCAGCATCAGGATTTAAGCATAGAAAAAAGTAATTATGTTTTAAGTTTTCAATACAGTGGGATTTATGAGCCATATAAGTGAAGAGCAAAGAGATCATTAATTTGATTTAGTGATGCCAAAGTCATTAATTTATTAGACCTAAAATATTTTATGCTTATTTTTTTGTAATACGACTATTAAGACTGCTCCAGACAGAAGGGATGTTGCTTAATGAATGGAAAGAGCACTAATTTATTAAACTCTGCATCTTTATAGTTGATATAAAACCCGACCAAAGTAGCAAACAGATGTGTCATGCCCTTGATCTTCCATGAGATTTAATCTCCAAAACATCCAGGTCACAGAGAGTACATCTCATTTCTGTACAAGCAGCTTATTTGGGATACCTGAATATCATTACATGACTGGGCAGGCAAAGAGTGATAAGTTCAGCAAAGCCCAAGCACAGTGCTCTCAGAACACGTAGTCGTTGGTTATTTTGAGGGAAGGCATGGCCTCGTTCACGTTCTGGTCCAGGCGATGATACTCCACCGTCCGCGAGCACAGCCCGTCCCTCCAGCGCCGGCTCTGCACCAGCAGGAAGAGCTGAAACACAAATCACACAGTTACATCTGCTCTCAGAACAGTGAGGGGATCGGTGGCATCAGGTTGAACGAGGCCAAGGGCCGGGTCCTGCACTTTGGCCACAACAACCCCCTGCAGGTCCAGGCTGGGCACAGAGGGGTTGGAGAGCAGCCAGGCAGGAAGGGAGCTGGGGGGACTGAGTGACAGCAGCTGAACAGGAGCCAGAGAGTGCCCAGGGGGGCAAGAAGGCCAGTGGATCCTGGCCTGGATCAGGAACAGTGTGGCAGCAGGAGCAGGGCAGTGATTCTGCCCCTGTACTCGGTGCTGGTGAGGCCACCCCTGGAGTGCTGTGTCCAGCTCTGGAGCTACACATGTAGCTTTACTAAAAGATTTCCCCTCAGTTCAGGAAGGACATGGAGGGGCTGGAGCAGGTCCAGAGAAGAGCTACAAGGCTGGGGAAGGGTCTGGAGCTGCTTCTAGGAGGAGCAGCTGAGGGAGCTGGGGTGCTCAGCCTGGAGAAAAGGAGGCTCAAGGGAGACCTTCTCACTCTCTGCACTCTCTGACAGGAGGTTGTAGCCAGGTGGGGGTTAGGCTCTTCTCCCAGGAACCAGCAGTAGGACAAGAGGGCACAGTCCCAAACTGTGCCTGAGGAGGTTTAGGTTGGACATTGGGAAGAAACTCTTTACAGAGAGAGTGACTGGGCATTGGAATGGGCTGCCCAGGGAGGTGGTGGAGTCACCGTCCCTGGAGGTGTTTAAGAAGAGATTGGATGTGGCGTCAGTGCCATGGTCCAGTAGGCCAGGTGGTGTTGGGTCAAAGGTTGGACTCGATGATCTCAGAGGTCTTTTCCAACCTCATTGATTCTGTTTCTGGGTCTGATAGACAGCTCCACAGTCCTACTGATATTCCAGTTCCCCCCCCGGTGCTGGCAATGGCACTGCTGTTGGTATAAACCACAGCACTGGCAGTCAGACACTTGCACACTGTCCTTGTCACCCTCAGCTGCAGTTTGCATTCCACCTGGAAATCTTTTAGTAAAGCTACATGTGTAGCTCCAGAAGCACTGCATCTACTGACTATTCAACTATCCCCAGGTGGTGACATTTGTTACTTTATCCATCTTATCTATCCTGGCATTTCACCCTTGTTAGAAATAATTGTATTGCTGGTGCAACAGAGGCAACAGAAGCAGCACTGGTGTGATGTGATAAACTGTTTCTGCATCACAGCTGAGCAGTTAAAGAAGACAAAGAGTAATCAGATGTTTAAATGTCTATTATCTTCACCCTATTTAGCCTTGTTTCTTACCATCTCATCCAAGAATTTACTTTACACAGAGCAACTACACTGGCAAAAGAGGAAACAGGACAGTGGAAGTGGGCAGAGAGAAAGAAGAACCAACTTGACTGTTGTTTCACACAAATACATGCCATTATCTACATACTTCAAGTACTAGTGAATTTTCTGTTCCCAAAACTATCTCTAAGTGTTAAAAAGTAATAATTACCCAAATTATACTATAAACATTATTTCACTTACGTAGCAAAGATGAGGCATTTTTAATCACTTATTTGAACTTCTCTCAAAGTTACATTTTCAAATGCAACACAGTCTTCAACATTTTTCCCTATAAAGTCTTGGCAATGCACATTCCAGATATGCCATTGCACAGGAAAGCAGAAGGTTTTGGGGTTTTAGCTCTGTTCAGAGTCCCCCACATCCTCACCCAAGCCAGTGTTCTCCACAAGGATAAACACTAAATTTTCCTCATATCTAAAAACTAACCTGTGGTTTAATTGCAAATTTGTGCATGTACCAGTACTGGGTCTGGTTGGGCTGGAGTTCATTTTTTATGCTAGCAATGTATTTTGAAATAACACCAATCAGGCTACTTTTGAGATACAGAGAATTAATTTGCACTGAAAAAACAGTTACCTGAAAACAGTATCTCTGATCTTCTCTATGTAAAACTGGAAGCAGTGTTAAACATTTCCTAGAAGTTTGTAGTTAAGCCCTCATAGTATTTATGATATAAAGACCACCTTAAAGTGAACAATTATTAGAAGGATTATCATGAACATTCCCACACCATTAAGGATTAAACCTTCCTTAATTTGCTGTTTATAATCCTGTGCAGAAACAAAATCAGTTAATTGTTCACCTTCACTTGACTTGGCTCAGGTCTCCTTTACAGAACTCACATTGTGCACTGCCAGTGTCCATTACTGAATTGATTGATTACTGATGTTATCAATTAACTCATTTTCTAATTGAAAATGTTTGAGTTCATTTTCATTGTGCATATAAAATGAGAATAACGATATGCATATTAGTATCACCACAAGGCTTAAGTGGACAAAGATTCCATTCTCCAAAAAGAAAAGTTCCTCTTATTAAAAAGGTGTACCAGGCAATGCAACCTCATTTTAAATACTCCAGCTGTTCCTCTCAACCTTTCAGAGCACACCTACCTTCCTCTTATTGTGATAGGTGACATAAACAACAGCTACTAAGAAGGCAACTACAACCAGATGAAAAAAGAAATGGCTGTCCTCTTCTTCTTCCAACCCTGAGACAGAAACCCCTTTTATCTTCTCATCCAGGGTCTTGATCTCCTCGTTGTAATTGCTGATGGTGTCGGAGTCGTCGTCATCCGGCATCTCTAGGTCTGGGCTGTACCTGGAAATCGGTGTCATCTCGTAAGGACCATAATCATCTCCATCTGACTCCAGAGTTTCTTTTATGATGGGTGGGGAACTATTTAGTGTATCTTTCAAATCTGTTAGAAGATCCTCGTCCTCAATTTTAGTATCTTCAGAAGCATCAACTGGAGGTACCAGACTAGCAGGGAGAACAGATGAGGAAGAGTCACCTTTTGCTGTAGGTGCCTTTCCTGCAGTCACTGAACTGATTTTGGCTGTTGTTGGGATTGCCTTTTTTGTTGAGGTTAGGCTCTGCAAGCTGTCTGTCAAATTCTGGGATCTGCTCAGTGTTTCATTCTCACTTTTAGAAGAAATATTTTTCAGAAGCGTCTCCGTGTTCACGGGATCTGAGAAAAGGATGAGAAACAGTCAATATTAAGCACCAGGCAGTAACTTCTGTGGTACCCACCATTGCCACAGATTCCCTTTACAGACAAGAAATCATATGTCACATTGCAAACTTCTTACCAGTCATATGCAGAAATACATTTCCTGTACTTTGGCAATTTCCTAAGTCTTGAGCAGGAGAGGAGTTAAAGCTTGGAAGCACATCCTTTCTAGATTAGTATGCCAAAGTGTCCCTAAAAAATTCAGCATGCATGTTTTCCAGGCACAAGAACTTCAAAGACATGTCATCCCTCCCTCTGTGGATTTATGATGTCTTGCAGATTCACACACAATTAGTATTTTCTCCATCATCAAATTCCTTCTCCCACAGAAGAAGCTGAGCTCTACAGAGGAAGATTTTCTCAGCAAAGCTTTTCCTGCAGTTAAAAGTTTTTAATCTTTCACCAGCACATATTTTACCAACAAAAATGAGAACATGCTGTGAAGTCCCCTTCAGTCAGGACACAAGGTAATAGCATCTCTTCCCAGGCACTAATTTTTATTGAATTTACAGCTACTGAAAAAGATTTCCAACCTTTTGTTAACTGAAATGGAACCACTGAACCACAGGTTAAAAACAAAGCCAAAGAAAGGACAATCTGACTGCCCATGTTCCTGGAGGAAAGGCTACTGCTGACAGCAAATTATTCTAATAAAATAAGTCGGCAAGAGTAACAGTCACCCTCAGGCAAATTCAGCATCTCTCCAATGCTGGGACAGCTTTGCAGAACTCCCTAAGAAACAAGGTGAGCATTAAAACCACATGCACAGCCCATCCTCCCTATTCTCTATCCAAAGGAAGGTAAAAACAGATGCAGAGGGAGTTTATAAAGAGCCAGTGTTTTTTTTAAACCTAAAAAGTAGCAAACTATTCATGTGTACAGCACGTCACTTCCAGAGGCACCTGGAAAACTGCAGACCACATTTTAGACTTTCAGCACACATCAGCACTGGAACAGGGGAACCACACCTGCCCTGTATCTTGGCATGCCAAACTATTTCTTCGTTTTAAAAAAAGTAACAATACTTTCATTAAGCACTCCCAAGGTCCACTGGGAAGTTAGGGACTCTAAAAATGAAGCATTCAACCAACTGCCTGTGCCAGGTTACTCCCAAGTAAAATATTACAGAGGGGACACTGAATCATGTTATTCATGAAATGTATATTTACTGAGGATCAGTTACAACAGAGCTCTTGTTTACGAGGCACACCTTTGCAGTGGAAATTACTCTTTAACCAACTCAAACACAGCAGACTCCACTCATCTCACGTGAACTGGACATCACGGTGCCTCTGCTGAGGTTCAAGGGCAACTGTTTTACAGTCGACACACTTGTTGTTGAGAAAACTACTGCTCTGAATTATATTAACCTTAACTTGTTCAGATCTTGTACAGGACAAGTTTAGGGAACTCTGATTTCCCCTCAGGAGTCAAGTCAGCTAATTGCATACATGGAGATAAATATGAGGAAATGCAGCTGCAAGAGTTATATTAATTTTTACTTATAGCTAGTTGGCATGTTGGGAAGGAGGCAGGTCAACCTTACTGCTCCCCTCAGACAGACAAAAAGTGTTAGAGAGCCAAATAATAATAGCTAAACTGTTTGAAATACAAACAAGCATATTTTCCCTATAAAATTATGCTGCTTACACTTCAAATCGTTCTTAAACTCATTCTGACATTCAAGTTTTAGAAGGATATATGCTTAAATGCAAGGGACTCCCACCAGCTAATGCTGTGGCTTCAGACTGGGAAATACTTTCCTATTGTTCCTAAAACACGAGGGGTTTTATTTTAATTGCAGTAGGAAGTTTAGCAACTCAACCACAGCTGATTTATGACATCTACCCAAAACTATTTGGCATTATAAACGGTGGCTGCACTGTTTACAGTTACACAACACAGTCAGGTGGTGTTACAGCAGTGCCTGGACTCCAGAGATGCCTCAGCTTCAGAAACAGATATTTATGTTCAGTCCTGGTGACAGAATTAGCAACACAGCCCTCTTAGTAAACACCACACATAAAAAACATGTGATGGTTAAAATGCCCTTCCAGGAGAACTGCTTTTAGAAAGCAAGTTATTTCATGATTTCTGAAGTTGAAAATTCTCGTTTTCCTACAGGTTTCTGTCCCAAATGCTTCCTGCCATCCCGTCAGACCAGGTGAGGGGCAGCACAAAGAGCTGGGGTGGATATTCCCACTGCCAGGCACAGAGGGAACTGAGGGCTCAAACAGCTCCCTTCATTTCCTTCAGTAATTCCTTTCTCCTCACTGCCCAGGCAATACTCCACCTAAAACAAAGAGAAACCCGCTGCACGTGAAATGTGCATTTCTTACCAGCCTTGGGCTACAGCTGGTCTGAAAGGGAAGGACGGAAACAGACTGAACTTGGAGCCAACTTGTAAAGTAACATAAGCTTAATTTCGCGGGCAGAGGGAGGCTAAACCCAGGCACAGAACTAGAGTACTTAGAACAAAGTACCAAGTCCGATGAGTGAAGTCACCACCCGAACTGCTCCAACCACCCAAACCGCTCTCGCAGCACCACGAGCGGAGCGCACCCGGCTGGGCCTCCCGATCCCCGCCCGGGCAATGCCCGTCCCCAGCGCAGCCCTCAGCGCTCGCTGCCCCGACCGAGGCCGGTTCCGGGGCCGGTGTCCACAAGGCACGACCCGCGCAGGCCGAGGCCGCCGGCCCACCGAGAGCCGGTGAAGACGCGCAGCGGCCCCCCCGCAGCCCCCCAGCCATCCCTCCAGCCGCCCCCCCCGGCGCTCACCGCGGAGGTTCTGCCCGCGGGCCGCCAGGGCCCAGCCGAGCAGCAGCGCCAGGCCGAGGGGCACAGCCCGCCCGCTCCCGCCGCTCGCCGCCGCCCGCGCCATCTTGGGGCGCTCGCGCGGATCGGAGGACACCGGGGGGGCGCGCGTGTGCGCGGGGGGGGCGAGAGGCGGGGTGTGAGGGGGGGTACGGAACGGCGGGATCAGAGAGCCCGGGGTTATGGAATGGTGGGGGTATGGAATGGTCACAGAGCCGTGGGATCGAGGGGTCACCGAGGGTGGGAGACACTCCTGAGGTCGTCTAGTCCAACCGCCCACCCGGCACCGTCACTGTCACCCCTACACCACTGAACCACATCGCCCAGCGCCACATCTCAAACACCTCCAGGGGAAGGTGACCCCACCGCCTCCTGGGCTGCCCTTCAGTGTCTGACCACCCCAGCAGGGAAAATTTTCTAATATTTAATCTGAACCTCCCTGTCTCAGCTTGAGGCCGTTTCCTCTGGTGCTCTCACGGCAGCACAGCCCCGTCCCACCTCCCTGCACCCTCCTGGCCGGTGGTTGCCCAAATGGCCCAGCAGGACAGGCGGTGTTGGAGCTGCCAGGGCCCTCCAAGATGTGAGCGAGACAAATCCATGACAGAAAATAGGGAATTTCCTTTGCCTGCCTTCTGATGGAGGTTGATAAGAGGGATTGGACACCCACACACACCCCCAGGGAAGTGCCCACTGGCCTCCTGTCCAGGCTTTGTGCTGTGGCGCTCATGGAACGCTTTTTGCAACATTGGATAGATCTATGCAAAATCAAGCTTTCCTGTTCTCACCCCTGGTCGGGTATTCCATGCCCTGAGAGAAGGCTTGAAGCTGGTCACAGGTGAAAAAAATACCAAAGCAGATGCCTCAAGGATGAGAAAATCAAGAGGAAGGAGCCCAAAGGCTTACAGGGACACCAAGAGAACAGGGGACATGCACAGCACACAGGATGTAAATGAATACTGAGCATTTGCCATGTCACTGAGCTCTTTGCACGTGGTTCATTTTGATGGGTGAAGTCTGGAAGAGGACCACTTCTCCCAGGAGTGCTGGGAAAAGCATGTGAGATAGGAAACACTCAGGAACGGCTCGTGGTAAGAGGGAAACAGCCAGTGTTGCCCAGTTTGTGGCTCTGCAGCCTCACATTGTTGCAATGCCATTGCCTCACCAGGCACATCCTCCTGTACTGCAGCTCTTGCCATCTGCAGCCACTCACAGCAATGGCTTACCCTCGAAAAAATACAAAATATTACTGAAAAGCCACTGAAGTTGATCCCAGCTCATAACTGTCCATTGTTCACACTTACTTGTTTACAGAAAGGTAATTCAACTTACTGGATTCTGCAATGGAAGACAAGTGATGTTACCTTGTTTTATCCATTAGCTAAACACATGCATATGTGCAGTTGCCAGAGCTCAGCGAGCAGTAAGAACAGTGCCATGTCTGGAACTTAAATCTAGTAAGTATTTTTGTTTCATGTGGTACAAAATATGCACCAAGACATTGTCAGTCTGCCTCTGGACCACAGATTTAGATGAAACTGTTTTCACAATTAATATAAAGACAAAGTAAAAGGTGACATTTTAATATTTTATTCAAGTCGAGTTTGGGTTTTTTATCCATTTTTAGTAGTGTCAAGTACAGCATTTTGGGGTCTAGTTCCACACAAAATGGAAGACTCTCTAAAAATGTACCCATTTAGTTGCTAAAAAAAAGTGGTAATAAAACAGAACTTCCCATTTTAGATTTAAGTGATGCAACTGTGTGATTGCAGTCGCAAAGACTCTCCCTGATTCTGTCTGTTTTTTACAAGCTTTCCGGTCAGTGCAAGGGGAAGGAACCACAACACAGGACAGGCAGCGTTGGCTGAGTCACATCAAACCTCCTCCGTGACGGGACTTGGACAAGGCGGACAACCTAAAGCATTCTGGAGACAGCTGGAGAGGGGGGGGAGGTAACCAAATAAGACAAACCATTGGTGGAATACAGAGCTAAAAAAAAAAAAATAAAATCTTAAAATCCCTTTTTCAGACAAGTTTGCACATTCCCCCGTCAGTTGAAACCTCGAGTGTCGGAAGGTTTTGCTCACGGAATTAACAGTACAACGGAGTGGTCTGCATGGCAATCCTCAGGGTTTACACCACATTAACACATTCCTTGTGCCATCAGTATGTTAGTAGAGGTAATCAACGCCTTCCTCCTTCCTATCACGTGGCAGCTGACACATGTGATGAGCAATTACATAAAGAAAAAAAGCCTGGAATTAGGATTTTTTTTTTACGCTTTTGTCTCCACTTCTTTAACAACATCATTTTTAAAGCTTAGCTGTCTTTAACCAGGACTAGCAGGACTGATACGTAGCAATACTCGCACCCCAGACAAAACATTGAAAGGTACACTATATTCTGAAGGTAGCTATGCTGTATTTTCAGATTAGCAACTGTGAAATCACTCCTTATGCTTCGAATTCCAGTCCTAGACCAAGTTTGTGACCACCTGCGTTGACGTTCTTGCCATCCAACAAAGCTGACAATGTCAGTTTGATACCTGCAAAACAGAGAAAAGTGAGAGAGAAGTCAATTTAAAACTTGGACTGAGCTTTAGGTTCAGTGTCTGTGCTACTGCTTTAATTTATTGGGTAGCCAGGTTAATGGCATTTGGCAGCTGGCCTTGTAAGGGCTGGGCATTTTACAGCAACTTGCAGATAAGAAATCCTTCTGAGTTATGAAATTTATAATAAACCATGATGATGGATTCTGCTTTTTATCACTCCGGGTAATTAAAGCTCTGAGTCAATTCGCTGCTGCAGGTCTACTGATTAATCTAATTTGAGAGTCTAGTATTATGAAAAATTGGGACCTTGATACATATCCACCTTTCTAAACCACTTTAAAATCTAGGTAGGAAAAAGCCCAAGCCCTGTCTGCTGTAATATCTCATGTCAATCTGCTCAGTATTCTGGCAGCAGATTTATTAGACTACATTAAAACCAATTTCACAGCAGTAAGATTGTCCTCTTCCTGGGCCAGGGGACCTTGAGAAAGTCACATTTTCAAGCAAAATAAACTCAGTAATAAGAAGCCTCTGAAAGTATTAAAAATGTGTTTACTTATCTGTGACACAACTAATTATATTTTGTATCAACATAAAAGAGTATCTGACTGGGCAGTGGACCACGGTCTCTAATAATTCTGCTTCCAACAGGCATCCAAAATTAACAGAGCAGTCCCTAGAAAGGTTCATCCCTGGCTTGCCAAGCACAACAGCAATCTTACAAAACCCATCACATTTTGTCATCAAAAAACCTTCTGGTATTTCAAGACTAAAATATCACTTTATTGATTCTGATTTTTTTTCTGCCTAGACCTACCTGGCTTTAAAGTCTGAGTGTATCCTAACCCGATCAGACTGGAGTTGTTCACTTTAGCCTTCAGGGAAAAAAAAATACAGCATTATTTAGTAATAAGTAATAAATTCAGTAAATAATTTAGTAGCTTTCTTCAAAGTCCTTCACACTTGAAAATTAAGCAACAGCTATTAAGCAGGTAAAGGATTTCAAGTTTTAAATCCCTAAAAATCTAGAGATAATTTTGCCATAACTTAAGCCCCCAATCTCAAAGTATCTACAGTCACTGTAGAAAACACTGGTTTTTATTGACATAGCTTTTAATTTTTTCCAGACTGACACGAAAACATTCTCAAAATAGTGCCCAATAACAGGATCAAACATTCCGTGTGCCTTTAAGGAAAATCCAATCGCTGTGCCCTCCGGCTGCCAAAGCCAAGGCAAACAGATCCACGTGCCAACTCCACAGCACAGGACTGCATCCAGAGCGTGCTCTGCTGAGGGAAAAGTTGCTTCACTTACTTCCAAATGCTTCTAAATGTGCATGCACAGGACTCACAGAAAAAGAGGCATCTGGGTCAATCTGATACTTGGCGGCTATTCCGAAGCGAGTGTTGCTATTCCCGGCTGTCCAGGCCAGATTCACGGCTGTTTCCAGTTTATCATTCACCTTCTGGTAAATGGAGCCGCCAAATTCCGTCCCATCGTTCCTGGAAGGAAAATGCATCGGTGTGGTTTTCAACAGCAACGCAAAACAATCAGCTTTTATTTCTCCAGCAAGATCTCTATTTGCACAACATCCCCTCACACCTCATTAAGTATGACCCATAACAGCTAAGATAGAGACATTGGGCCAGATTGGTTATGAAGTTATTTTTAGATGCTTCAATTCAGTGAAGATTACTACATTTCAGCAACTTCTGAAACTGAAAAAAAAAAACAGGACAAACTATCAAAAATCAGACCAGTGATGACAGCTTCCAATTTTCCCTTCCCTGCAATGGGAGTCTTTGTAGTAAAGAGATTTATTTTTCCCTGCATGTGTCTGAAACAATTACTTTCCCTATGAATGTCTCCCTCGTGTCCTGAGAGGGAGTCACAGAGCCTGAGTCATCCCCAAACTGCCGTGTCAGCACTTTTACCAGACACAGAGGAACTGTATCAGAAGGGAAGATGCCAATTTAATGTCCGACTCTATTGGCTTTTGCAAATGAATTCCATTTGCAACATTCCTGATGGTACATCTGTGCTATAGTCTCTGGGCTAGAAATGGAAATGGAACTAATTTTGCTTTGCAGAGAGCACTGGCCCAGAGCTGACTGATGAGCAGCATAACTTCCAATTGCTACTGCCACCACTGTCATACAGGGAATAAAGTGTGGTAAATAAAAGGCAAAACATCAGAGCATGCAGAGCATAAAAACAAGAGCCAAAGACTCCTAAAGGCCTCGCACTCCTTGTAAACCAGTGAGCATCTGAATTTCCATTTTCACTCATTTTCTTAAGAGAGGATAGAAACATATTGCAGAGAACGGGCTTTAAACCCCAGGAAGACCTCTGCAAAGAAAGAGGTTTAATGATTAACTGTGAAATAATCTGGTTCCAACTATTACAGTATACCAGACCTTTAGGGATTAAAAACAGAGTAGATTTAGAATCTTTTCTCTTTTTCCCCTTTGGCCTGATGTTCTGTAGCTCATACCAGTTGCCCAAACAGTAGTGATACACCTATTTAAAAGTTCAAGCAATAGCAGCAGCCTTTTAAGTTGTTAGAGCAATTCTTCCAGAAAAACACTACAATACTTACTTCAGATAAGACTGAAGCTCACATTAACTGCATGTGCTTGGCTCTCAAGAAAAGGAAGGATTAAAAAGGACTGAGGAGAGCTGGTTATACAGGCAGATTTTGTGCAAGGTTCCCACACAGCTCTGTCTTGACCTGCAACATTAGGGGGGGGCGGTCTGAGCTATGCTTAAAA